CCAGAGTGACGTAGGCTGCAAATAGGACAAAGCGGTACAGTAAATCAACTCTACTCCCCTCCTCTTTGTTGTTGTGGACCTGCTGATTATGAGCTCTCCCCGGGCCCTGACTGCCCCCGACGACCCAATCCACTCCCGTACTGCTGCTGTGGGGGTGGGGGTCTAGGTGGTCTGCCTAAAAATTGTGGCCTGGGTCCACCCTGGGACTCTGCCTACATGTCACTAGGTCTGGCCCTACGGCGCTGCTCCTGATCTGCCCTCCTTATATCCCGTTGCCGCTGTCTAATCCCTTCAATGTTCTGAGAAAAATCTTGAACGCGGGCAATATCCATGTCCTCTTACAGAGTGGCCGTGATACAAGTTTCCACATATTATGGATTCAGCCCCATAATAAACCGATGCACCCTAGCCGATATGGTATCCACAAAAGCTGGTGCATATGGGGCCAAGGAATCGAATCTCATAGCGTACTCTCAAACACTCATCCCTTCTCTAGATGTAAAAATTGATTAACCCAAGCCTATCAGATTTCCCGTGGTAGGTAGTGGTCCAGAAAAGCCTCTTAGAAGCTGGGCCAAGTCGGAAGGGAAACACCTCTCCCTTGGGACCTCTCCCAACTCTCGTACCACAGTACAACGATGTCCCGTAGCCGGAATACCGCTAACTCAATCGACTCTGCAGGTGTAGCATGGATCACCCTGAAAATTCATTGCATCTGATCCAAGAAATCCTAAGGGTCCTCCTCTCGGTCCGTCCTGGTAAATTGCGGGGGACTCAATGCAAGAAACTCTCGGACCCTCGAACTACCAGGCCCTTCTGAAGACTCTGCGACTATGGGTGCCACTGGCTGACGTTGTGCAACCATCATCTGAGCTAACATAACAACAACACTCCTAACCTCCTGATCCGATGGTACCGGTATAGAGATTGCTGGGGGCGGTGCTGTTACACGTGCCACTCCAAGAAGCTCCTGAAGTGGTGGAGAGTGCTGGAGAGACCGAGACGAAGTCTCCCTGTCGCCCTTAGATCAGGCTGACTCTAGCTGAGGCACCCTACTAGTGCCTTCCCCTGCTGCAACATCCAATCTTCTACCAGTCGTGGGGTGTCACGGGTCTGTCATTACTCTGTAGATAAATGAATATGGTAAGCTTAGGGACTCAACCCTACACTGTACAGCTTTATAGAATGACTGGATAAGAAGAAATGATTAACCATCCTATCATGCCTCGCAGCCTTCTGCTTATAGAATGTGGTGCACAACATATCCATAGACAAGATTCTACATAGCACGGCTTGCAGACTCCCTGAGATACGATCTGCTCTGATACCAAGATTGTCACGCCCCACCTGGGGAGGAATGACTGGCACCTGGTGCCCTACTAGGATCTGAACTGACTGAGCCTAAGCACTCCTAGTGCAAACTTACTCCTCAAATCAAGAAAACAACGGGCTTTATCTCAGCTGCAAACACAGCCCCCAACCGACAAGGCCTTATAGCCACCCGTAAAAGAAAACCAACTAGCCATAAACAACAACAGGGAATCCTATGCGGGCTGATAAGACCGCCATGATTTCTAGTTATAATTGTAAAGTAAATCCAGAGCTACGCTAAACTATGGCTGACAAGGCCGCCAATCTGTCAGCTAAACAAGGCCCCACATGGCTAACATGTAAACTAAAGCACACATATGCCCCACACAACTATTAACTGCTAATCACAGGGAAATAGAAATAATCTGAAAGCCTTTAGGAGTAATATGATGGTCAGGACAGGGCCTGACCTACCCATAAACTGTACAATCAAAAGGAAGTAAACCTTCTATCTACAAGCTCTGGAAGAAAGGAGCTAACTACTCTGGTGACACTGGCTGAACGCTACGAGGGACCTGATCCTCATCTATCCGTACCTTCAGGCAAGTAATGCAGCGCCCCAGAAAGGGCATCAGTACAATATGTGCTGAATATGTAAGGCGATAACTATAAATGACTGAACTAAAGAAGTAGAACTGAAATGAAGGGATAGAGATCATACCTGGCACTATCACGTCTTACTGTCTAATTATCAATAACTAAAACAAAATAAACCTTACCTTGCCCCTATGAGCTGGAAGTTACAACCAACACAGAATAACCCACTTGGGCCCCCCATAAGCCCTGGTGAGTACACCTCAGTCTATATACCCCTATCCAAGATCACACTGGATCAACTAATAGCTATAGCCGTCATACCAATCCCCTGGGTCTGCAACTGAGCCCGCTCGGCCCCTGACTGTAATTTGTATGAGTCCGGTGGACTCCTGATATCTGCACCCTAGGCACCAGGCTCGACGGGGGGTGTATAAAGAAAACCACGACATATGAGGATATGGAACTCCATCTTTGTCCCTGACGAATGGCATACCACTCCATAGAGCGACGTCATCTCACCCCTGGTGAGTGTCGACACAGCTAATAACCCTAGGGTCGGTCATGAAGGCTATACATGCATAATCCCTCCCGAACTAATATGGAGCACTGATCTCAGCTAATAACAACAACTAATCATAATGGACATGCTTCTGGTATTCTACTGGGATTCAACTGAGTTATAATGCGAAGAAAACTAACTTGCCGAAGGAAACTTTCTTAACATACCTCATTCTTCATTTAATGATTAACTGGTGAGTTTCATCTCGTATTTAACTGCTCTTCTCTACTGCAATCGTATTATTGGAAGATTGAGGCTAATTTCAATACTAAATTCAATAAAAATGATAACTTTATATAGAAATATTAACTATATTTCAACTTGATGGAACACAGTTGAAAACTTGTAATTTCTCGAGAATCTAGAAGGGAGAAATGCTTACTTTAAGCCTGTGATCATATTGACACTAGTTTGGAGAAATTCCAACAACTTTAGCTCAGCGAGGTTGCGATTCGCGGGGAGAATTTTGCGAAACTAACTCCGTAGTAATGCTCCTTGCAGCCTTATACTTTGATACCCGAAGTTAATTCAGATTTGGACGACATTTCGTAGCGTAAATGGACAAAAATGTTGGTTTCCTCATTGGTTCTCTCCTCTTTCCGATTATATATATATATATGTTATAATGAAATCAAAAGGAGTGATATATATATACTTTGAGGCGGTGGACAGGGGTTCGTGGCACGGACCCTGTCGCGCCAATTCTGGGTTGTGCCATGGAGCCCAATGCGCCAGGGAGGGGCCGTGCCACGTTGCCCCTTTGGGAAGCTGGTCCGGCCTTCTCCCGTGTGGTCCCGACTCCGCGCTCGTCCGACCTTTCCCCTGGCCCCTTTCTCGTACGTTTTATATCCTAAAACTCTTAACCAACGTATGAATAGGCTATCTAAACATTAGAAACTTACGGGGTCTAACATTTTACACTCAATTTCACTATAAATTCTTGATTTCAAGTTATTAGAAATTACGCCCTATTATGAAAGTTTTGTGAAAATTCAAGTCTATGATCCATGATTTCAAGCATGATGAATTATCTAGTATGCATGAATATTTATGAACTCTCTACTAATGATTATATGATTTTGACTTATGAAGTCTATTTCAAGTATGCATGATTTTATGATTTGTGAAAGCCCATGCAAGTTAAGTATGCTTACTAAGATTTTAGCCAGGGCTAAATAGATCAGTTTATGATTTTATTCGGAGTCAATACTCCCAATGCAGTTCATGATATGATTTGGAGTCAAGAATCCCAATGCAGCTTATGATATGATTTGGAGTCAAGACTCTCAATATTCAGATTCAAGCTATGTTTTAAGAATATAATTAGATGAGAAATATGCACATTTTGGGAGTAGTGTCTTGCACCGAGTAGGTCAGGAGTTCCTAGGTTCCCCGATCTCATAAACTATATGGAAACGTAGGTATATATTTGGCATATCTCAAGAGAGTTCTTCCCCCGCCCGAGGGCACACCTTGATATCACACCTAATTCATCTTTTTCCCTAGCAAGGCTTAGGATGGCTCTCCTCCACGTGGGCAAGACGTGAGATCAGTATGCGCTCATACATGGTGATTGTCGATTTTGATGAGTCTCCCATTGTTCCTCATGATTTTAATTACTCATGTTCATGACTTATGATACTATGTTTTATAGCATATTTGACCCATTTATTAGTTTATGAACATTTACTTATGATTTTAACATCTGCTAGAGCTCGAAATTGACATTTCTCACAAAGTTTTTAGGAGATTCCCGAGAGTTCGACTGACTAAGAATCTTTCACCGAGGTCTATTTTTTACTTTCTCAATTGAAAGAGAGGGCACGGTGGGCATACAATTCTTCTATTTCATTTCTTGCCTGTTGCACTGCGTGATAACAAATTTCATTTATTGATTGGATTCGGGCCTAACTCGCACTTATTTCAAGAGCTATCCTATGAAAGTACCTCGAGATGCTAATCCACAAAAAAGGATACGATAAATTTTGAAGAACTCATATACAGAACGAGGGCGACCCGTGCAAATACATCGGTTTCTTACTCGTGCAAAGGAACTTCAGAAGGATCTCATAATTTAATTATCCATGACTGTTTATGTCTCTAGCATGACCACTTGATGAAAGGTAATGCCAGTTGGAAAAGAGGCGTTAAGCATCCCTAGCGGTACGAAAAGAGGGGTCGTGATTATATCATCTACGTCCGTACTGCTCCTCGTGGAGTAGATCCCGCATCCAACCAAGTCTTTGACCAGGGAACGGGAGAATTCCCACTACCGCTGGCAGGCCAGCCACTTCAGTTTCACTTGCTTGGTAACCTCTTTCCCAGGTTGTGAAAGAATCGTTGTATGCCCCGGAAAATAGATTGTTACGAGCTATACTTGGTATTCAGGTATCTACTTCAAAAGAAATTTTTCTAAAATTACCTATAGGTGGATGGGGTCAGGTTATTGATGCCAACTCTCTCAGGTGAATTAAGTCCATTCCTACGCTGATGAATGCCTCTTTTATCTTCTCTGAAGTCTACAACAAACAAGTGGGAGAGTAAGGATTCGAACCTACGTAGAAAGACTTCAACATATTTATAGTCTGCCTCTTTTGACCACTCAACCTCTCTCCCCTTCCTAGGACTTCTTATTATTGCATTTCCTACAATGTCAAATTAATGGCTTTCCAAAAGTTGCACACTAAATCCCCTGTAGCTTAATATCCTAACTAACATACTTTCCATTCTTTCTATTTCATATTAACACCAACATTATTTGATTCCAAATTAAGAGCAATGCCTATTGTACCCTCTTCAAATTCTACTAATTCCCCCTCGATTACTTCATCAAGACTGTGAATACGAGCAATGCCATCTCCTAATGCAAGTTGATAGGTCCTTCAATCATCGAGTACACTATCGACTTCCCACACTTATCATGACAACATCACCAATATTTGGCACATATAGGGGGCCCTATCATACATATGCACCACCATAGTCTTCATAGGAACTCTGGGGAGAGGTCCAAGGTGAACCCGAATTAATGATGAGAAGCGGTCAAATTAGTAGCAAAGGCACCAGGCGGATGGTTGGTTGAACTGGGTAATAGCTTCGCGATCGATAGCTGCTGTGGTGAATATGTACCCGGGCCCTGTACACACCGCCCATCACACCCTGGGAATTGGTTTCCCCCGAAGCATCGGACCAATGATCACCCATGACTTCTGTGGCACACTAGTGCCATAAAGGCCTTTGGTGGTCTTATTGGCGCATACCACAGTGGGGTCTTCGAATGGGGTGAAGTCGTAACAAGGTAGCCGTAGGGGAACCTGTGGCTAGATTTAATTTTATAGTTCGTACGGGACCAAGTACTTTATAAGACTATATAAGACTTTAAAGCTAGGATTAGGAGCTCGGACAAACACTTAACATTTTGAAAAGAAAATGACGAGTTTGATTAGACGCTTTCTTTTTCCCAGCAAAGGTACCATTTACAGCTCAATCCATAAGTTCACACTAGTCAGTACAACTTTCTTTGAATTTCATTTTCTACAAGAGTCGATACGATGGATACTAGGCGCTGTGCGTATCGACCTGTGCAGTGCTGTAGCTAACGTGTTAAGTATCCTACCTGGGGAGTATGTTCGCAAGAATGAAACTCAAAGGAATTGACGGGGGCCCGCACAAGCAGTGGAGCATGTGGTTTAATTCGATGCAAAGTGAAGAACCTTACCAGGGCTTGACATGCCGCGAATCCTCTTGAAAGAGAGGGGTGCCTTCGGGAACGCAGACACAACTATTTTCTTTGTAAAGTTTTTGTAAAAACGAAGAATTAAAGTCGATTTTACTCTAGTAGTCACTAGACTCACTATAGTGGTCCGTCTGGCTGCTCTTGCTGAAATCATTACTCTTAATTCTCCCGTGCTCTAGCTATTGCGCTCCCCAGACCACTACCATGTAGTTAGGTTGTACGTGAATCCATGTTCAAAGGACATCATACCAAAGTCGTACAATTAGGACCTCGATATGGTTTTATTCTGTTTATCATATAAATAGGAATAACCGAACAACATCTATAAAATGCCAGTACCATGCAGCTGCTTCAAAGCCAACGTGATGCTCCTTGGTCAGATGACCAAGATATTGAAGCAGCTAAAGGAGCCTGCTTTGGTGACCCTACGAGGAAGTGTTTCTCATTAAAGTCAGACTCTACCCACTCCAGCTCCCCCGAATAGTCCGATATTTCCTCCACGGCGATAAGGGGTACTTAACGCGTTAGCTATAACACTGCACGAGTCGATACACACAGCGCCTAGTATCCATTGTTTACGTCTAGGATGGGGTATCTAATCCCATTCACTTTTCCTTCATTGATTTGATTCTTTCAATAGATACCGAGATTCATATTGGAAATTAAAAATATAGTAATTCAAACTATAAGACGTAAGAGTAATTTAGATTGATCAGAACAAAGAAAATGGGTGGAGAATATAAGGGGGACCTTTATCTCCTAAAGCTACTCATTAGGGAATATCGACCAAATTAGTCTGTCTGCTACTTTCTTTCATAACAGAGCCGTTATTCCCGGCTGGCATAGAAGTCTCTCGCGCGGGCGAAGGAGATGCATTTCTAGTACTGGTGGTATTGGACAAGCTTTAAGGGAATAATGAGTATTTTCAAACTAATTCCACATCTTCTACTTCGACAAGGAAAGTGCAAAAGGAAAAGGAGTAACACATAAGTAATGTAATGATGGCTAAGGGCTTTCTTTTTACCAGTTTGAAAGGAAGAGTGTGCCATGGTGAAATGCAATAGCTTGTCCGTCCCATCCAACGAATAACACAATTACACCCCTATTTTTATAGGAACTTCTGTACCAGAAACCATGGTATCTCCAATTATAGCCCCTCTGGGCGACAGCTGCATGAAAGTCGTTGCTTCTTAGCGCATCCCTTTTCCATCCAGACGGACTACTATAGTGAGTCTAGTGACTACTACAGTAGAGTTAAGTAGAAAGGTATGGTATAGCATCCTTTTCGAGTGAGCCTCTGTGATCTCTTGTAAACCCCCATGATGTGGTAAAGGGAGGATATTAGGGGAAGCAGTGAGTAGAGATTCCCCTGCATGGCAAAGTCATATGATTTCTATTTTTAAATATTGGGTCATTATGTTCCGTTATGATAACCAACTTATTATTATGTATATCTCAGACATGACTTTTAGTGTGTAGTCCTTACTCTCATGATCTATTTAATTTATAGGCATGATTTGAGCTACGTTTTATTAAGTATGTTTTACCTACCTTAAATACTCAGTACATTCAAAGTACTGATTGCATACTCTATGCTATATCATCTGATGATATAGGTTTGGGTGATCTAACTCATTCTTGTCAATAGCTTGCTCCCATATCAATCTAGTTCAGCCCATGCTTTGAGTGAGTCCTCATCATCCGAGGGCATCTATCAGTTTAGACTTGTTATGTCAGTTTAGTTTCAGACATAGAGTTAGCTGGAAGCTTGTTCCAATATCTCATAAGATAGTAGACGCTTTTCAGAATTAGACTTAGTATGATCAGCTTTGTGATTTAGTATTGTGATGTTATCACTTGACATACGCTTTATGATATTTAGTCTTCTGATTATTCATGTTCATGATATTTTCCACTTGATTATGCCTTATATTCATGTTATGTATGTACCATGGGTTAACTTAGAGCTATTCGTGGTTCTGGGTCCCATGTCTTGATTTGGGTTCCTAGCTCGGGTCGTGACAAACTTGGTATCAAAGCAAAGGATTAGATATGTCCTAGGGTGTATGAAAGCCGCATTAAGTAGAGTCTTTTCCATAGATGTGAAGCGCGCTACACTTATGGGGAATAGTCTACAAGACGTTTTAGGAAATTTCCCTTTTTTCATGACCTATGTCGTGCGATGAACTACCTCTCTATTCCTCTAACTTGTGCTAAACATATTTGTAGAAGTATGCATCCATGCGGAGTAAATGAATGGAGAAATAGCAACAAAAATTTCCATGGAAATGGCAATAGAGATGGGCATCAGCAAGCCTCGCCAGCTCCAGCGGTTCCCTTGCCCGAGTAGGTCACTCATGCCGAGTTCAGGACAACATTTCAAATATTTGCACAGGTCTTGACCACTCAGGTCAACCAGAAGGCAATGACCCATGTTCCTCAGAATAGGAACACAACAGTGGAGAGAGTGCGATACTTTCTCAAGATGAACCCACCCGAGTTTCTGGGTCGAAGTTGGATAAGGAACCCACACAAGTTCCTTTAGGAGGTGCAGAAGATCACCCAGATTACGGGGTTGACAGGAGAGGAGAGTGCAAACGTAGCCTCCTATCAGGTGAAAGGGGCTGCTAACATATGGCTATATCAATGGAAGGATAGTAGGGGAGTTAGAGTAGTTCCTGTGGTTTGGGATGAGTTTGTGACTGCTTTATTGGATAGATTCTTCCCTAAGGAGTTGAGGGAGGAAAAAGCGGTAGAGTTCGTCAACTGAAGCAGAACAACAGGGTTGTCCAGGAGTATGGTTTGGAGTTTACCCAGTTTTCCAAGTATGCACTAGAGATGGTTGCTGATCCTAGGGCTAGTATGAGTAAGTTTGTGAATGGAGTGACAGATTCCTTGGTGAATAAGTGCAGGACTGCCATGTTGATCAGTGATATAGATTTCTCCTAGTTAGTCATATATGCCTAGAAGATAGAGGTAGAGCAGATGAAGGAGAAGGAGAGAGAGGCCAAGAGGGCTAGGATAGGGAGTCATAGGCATTTTCAAGAGGTTCAATGGTTGATATTGACCTAAATTCCACTAGAGGTCGTCAACCCCAACTCCCTCATCAGCTAGCGTTCCATCTATACCTCGAGGAGATTAGAGAGGCATAGCAATAGGCTCTAGGGGATAGAGGAGCATGTTAGGGGAGCACACTTATCCAGTTTGTAGAAAGTGTGGCAGGAAGCACCCTGACGAGTGCTTGGTTGGTTTAGATATTTTCTTCTGGTGTNCTCCAACTACTACTTCAGCAGCTTGTCCATCTTAGCAGGGCGCCTCTTCTAGTGCGGGTGGTGGGCAGCGCAAACAGGTTCTATGCACTATCTTCTCGTCAGGAGTAGGAGGTCTCTCCCGATACGGTCACTCGTATGTTATGAGTATTACATATTGATGTGTATGAATTGTTATATCCAGGGGCTACCTCATATTTTGTGACTCCTTTATGTTGTTGTTAGTTTCAGAGTCAGTCCCGAAATCCTATCAGAACCCTTCTCAGTCTCTACTCCTACCGGTGAGTCAATTTTAGCTTGACGAGTGTACATAAATTGTCGTATCATGATTCTTTAGAAAGTCACCTCAGCCGACCTAGTGGAGTTAGATATGACCAATTTTGATGCTATATTCGGTATGGATGGATTACATGCATGTTATGCCTCGGTTATAGAACCCGTACGGTAGGGTTTTGATTTCTGGATGAGCCAGTCCTAGAGTGGAAGGGTAGTTCAGTAGTTCCTGTAGATCACTTTATTTCCTATCTCAATGCTAGGAAGATGATCTCTGAGGACTGTGTGTATAATTTAGTTTGGGTCAAGGATTCTACGTTCGAGACCCCAGCTCTTTA